CGAAAAAGGACAACTAAATTAAAGAGAATGCTTACACTATGATTGCTCTCAATTTATAAATGCAAGCATCACAAGAACAAACATTCAATTAAACACAAAAGTTGTCTTCTCTGAAACCCGACGAAGCTTTCAAAATGGAAAGTTACACAAAAAATTTACTCCTAAACCTAAAATTGAAAGTGAAAAACTTAAGGATAGAGAAAAAAAACTTTTTTTTTCTAAAAATACATCTCCATATATATACCCCCATTTCCCCTTTCTCATTGGATATGGTGTGTGGCCCGCATGATGGATGAATTGCCGAAGAAACTTCGTCTGCCTAGCTCGGCCAATGAAAACCCTTTTTGAAGCTTGGGAGGTGAAATCAACGAATTAGAATGCTTGCCTAGAAGTTTGGAGTCGACCCTCATGAGTGGTTAGCTGACCCCATTCGATGTATGAGATTGTGGGATTTTTTTTTGTCTAAATCGACTTAGCATCAACCAGTTGAAAGTGAGGTTCAACTAGTTGATCGCCCTTCTTTAGCCGGTTGAAATGCTTTCATGAACTGGTTAAATGATCTCAGTATCTTTCTTTGGTCTTGGCTTTGTCTAATTCACTGGTTGAAATGTAGTGACCAAACGGTTGAAGTACTCCTAGTACTTTTTACACATCTTGTCAAACTCTGATCAACCGGTTGAAGTTGATTGACTAACCGGTTGAATACTCTCAGTATCGTGAATGGTCCCAATATCTAAAAAATCCCTGATCAACCGGTTGAAGTTGATTGTTCAACCGATTGAACTTCCTTTTTCCTCAATTCTGCAACCTTTCTACTATTGCTCCTCCTTGCCTCCTTAATCATTCCACACATCAACATCAATATTATCACCTATGTCACACCTACAAACACAAATGTGACTTCAACCAATAATCAAACCAAAATTAGAGAGATACTATTAATTAAGCCCATAAAATGAATGGTTTACTTAATGAAATGTGAAATATTAAGTGCTAAACAAGACGTACTTCCTGGTATTTTGCAAGAACAATCACATAAAAAGAAATGATTGAGCCAGAAAAGAAGAAAAGAAATGAACACTACAAGATGTGAGAAAATGAGAATAGGCCAACATGGATTTGTTTTGATGATCAAGTGGCAAACGGTAGGCCTTGTCCAAATGAGAAAGAAAAACATTGACCTAGGCCCCAAAAGAAGGAAGACCGAGGAGGGCAGAGATATCATAAATTGTCAGACCCATCATGCCACAATGAAAGTGGAGACATTATTCATTGTAGTCCAGAATAGGAGAGCTGAACAAAGCAAGGGTCTATCGATGGGCATGTTGATTGTACTAACATTTATGGCATTATAAATGCCCAAACGTTTCCACAAGTGGTCTTTCACCACTTTAACACGTGCAACCCAAGAAACACATTTTGAAGAAGGAGTTTTCCATGAACGAATTCGGGTTCCAGAACTCTAGTTAGACAATTGCAGACGTTCTCTAAATAAAATAGGTGCATGGGGTGTAGGATTTAACAAGCGAGCATTGGTCGAAGGAAATGGAGAAAAAGCAGGGTCAAGGCCCATCACCGATGGAGAAGTGTTAGATTCAAGAACGAAAGTATGATGGTCAATTTTTCGAGAAAAAACTTCAGCAAGTGCTTCTTGAAGAAAGGTAGCACGAGCGATCACCATTGTAAAAGAAAGAAAGATTAAAGAGTTGGAATGATAATAGGTACCAAGTCTGAAGGGGGAAAATATAGGCATAGTCAACAAATCGTCGCAATGATGAAAGGATATGAACGAATCAAGTGATTGAAGCTAAACCGTATGCACTGAACATAGTGGCCAATCCTGGGGTGACAAGTAAGTAGAGGTATCAAGGCGACATCAGTTCAAATTAAAAGAACCAAAATAACACTCCAAAGGAACATATTGTCGTACCATTTGGGGGAAATGGCAATGTTTACAACCAAATAATAAAAGATTTGAGGGTGACAAGTGGCAAGATCTAATGGCTAGAATTAAGTTAGTAAAGGTCCAAGGGAAACAAGGCAGTTAAGGGAAAGTGTCTCCATGGATCTTGGATAATGTATAGATGTGACAACATGAGCCGACGGTTGCAAACAATTTAGTGCACGATAGATTACGTTAGAAGTAGAGACCATATGATTACTTGGGTGGTGGCTGAAAAAGATGGCTCTAGTGATTAAGGGCCACCATCTATAAATACAGAGGTTTAGGCTATAAAGAAGGGATCTCTCAACACACACACACAATGCGATAACATACTAGAGCCTTCTTTTGCACTATTTAGCTTAGTTTATTTTTTGCACTGTAGTAGTCACTCTGTTGACCTCCTCCTTTCCTTTTAATTTCAAGTACAATAGTTCATACAAAAATTCCTCTTTGTTGTTTACATTACCATCTCTATTTTTCCCAAAGCAATTTCCCAATTTGGATGTTTCCCAAGTTATTTCCCTTGTTTGGGTCTTTCCCCGACCCATACCATGTGAATTTCTAGGGGATATCTCCCAGCATGCTTGTTGCCACCATCCCAAAACGATGTCCCATTAGATGAAAAAAGTGCAGCAAGAGATGTCAAACTATGTGCCTTCCACACGACGAGGGGTAATGACTCTGATACAATAACAATTTAGATCTGAATTGTACCATATACCTATTTTGAGTTAAGGCCGCACACCTTTAAGGTATTGTGCATAATATGGGTCTAGAGTTAATACTTATAAAGCGTTCTACACCCATTTGACTTCGGCAAGCAATATGAGACTGGTTTACTACAATTGTAACGTTCCAGTTTTGCATTGTACAATATTGTGTGTTTTAGACTATGTTCACACAATTTGAAACAATACAATAAAGGTCCAAAACTCAAACTTATAGAATAATTTACAATTACTTTACCAAATAATGTGGGATTCTATCATCACTTAATCTACCTCCTTCAGTGTGGGTTTTCATGGAATGACTCTCGCTGTGCTAGTTGCCACCCTTCCAAGCCATTGTCACTTGGGACCAGGTGCACCAAGTGACATATTGACTACATGGTGTCCATGAATCAGTGACTTTGACATCACTTGGAATGTCCACCTTGACTACATGGTCTCCGTTTTACATAATACTGTCCACTTTGAATTACTCACACGCATATATAAAAGGCTAAGCGACTAAGTGATTGTGGCTCATTAAGGGGGCATTGCAAAGTCAAAAGGCCCAACTAACAAGATTAACTTAAATGACCGTGGGGGAAGAAACAGGTGGCCTTGGGAGCAATCATCATTGCCATTTATTGGTTATTGATTTTCATCAATTGCCTGAAATAACAGTTTCCAAGCGTACAGTCGCAATGAATTTGTTTGTTGAACAGCATTTTGCTGCTAATTCTACTTCTGAGTTAAGAAAATTATTGTCGAAGTAGAACAACTCTTTTTACAGAAAGAACCTATTGATTTTTTTATCAGTGAGCTATTACACACTATTTCAAGTGAAAGAAAAAAAATTGAAGTAAAGTGTATTAGAGGAGATCTAACTCCGTCCTTCCATTTTGCTTATGCAAAACATTGGTATTCTTTTTCATCCCCATTTAGTTTTAGAAAGAACCTCCTCTTTTAATTGTTCTTTTTCTTTTTCTTATTTTTTTGGGGGGTGTTGAATCAGAGTGGATTTACGAAAAAGTAGAAGACAAGAAATTGCTTTGTTTCTGCAAACTGAATTTTGTAGAAGTAGTTGACATTATTGACCCTTATTCATATCATTCATATCAATCACATGCCACCTTAATCTGAGCCTCCTGTATTCTCACCACAGAACTCATCCTCCATTCAGTACAATCTTAAACTATCTTTCAAAGGCCCTACCCCGAAACTTTTATTCTTTTAGTTAGATTACACGGGTTCAGTACGTTACCAACACAGGAAAAATGGGATGATTTTTTCATTTCAAGGATGAAAATATCGATGTGTACAGTTGGCAATACATTATTCATTGTGGTTTACACAATCGGAGTCACGTCTTGCCAAATTTTGTGTTTTGTGTACGTACATTGTGTATTGTCAAGTTGAACTTTATGAATAGTTGAGTTCTTATCACTCATTTATTTAGCTCTAACACGGGTTAAATTTATACTTCATAAGTATATGTTGATTTGATGGATCGGTGTTGAGACTTGACAGTATGAATGTGTGTGTGTGTGGGACAGAAAATTTTTATTGAATTCAACAACTTTGCATGAAATTGTTCAATGTTCTTGAACCAAAAGGGTGTAAAGGTAGTCCTCTTGGTTGGCTTCATTACAACCTTTTCTAATGATGAATAACCCAACTCTGCCAAACAACTGTCCCATTGAATATCCTCAAACCACCTTCAACAGCTTCTTTTAGTTCTGGTGGCTCTTCTACCTTTTCAACTGTGGTTGCAGAAACCATTAATAGCATAGTCTCAAGTTTTACACACTATGCAAATATATAGCCCCTCTCATCTCTTGTGATCACACACAAAACTTATAGTGTTTTTACTGTTTCTTGCAAGAAATATTATGGGTAGTTCATCAACTACTTGTCTTCAGCTTATTTTAGGCCTTCTTCTAGCTCTCGGAACAGTTGCTCCTCGCGTCGAGGCTCGTGCGTTCTTCGTGTTCGGGGACTCACTGGTTGACAGTGGCAACAACAACTACTTGGTCACCACCGCCCGTGCAGACTCTCCTCCTTATGGCATAGATTATCCGACGCACCGGCCGACCGGCCGGTTCTCTAACGGCCTTAATATTCCTGATATTATCAGTTGAGCATTCTTGACTATAATAAATTTTAATATCTAAACCCAGTTACTGTTTTTGTAGAATGTGTGGACCATTATGGAAAGAACAACTTTTCTCATGAACTCTTCTTGTGGAAAACTTACATAGATAGTAGGCTTCATTTTTAGTTTTCATCATGGTTTACGTAGTATATTACATATATATGTGTGTGTGCGCTCGGGCACGGTGCATGCATACATGGGTTTTTTGTTTTTTGTGTGTATGTTTGATCTTGCATGGGCTATTATTGTGTGTGTTTAAGATTAAGCAGTGTTGATTGTATTTAATTTCAGGCCAGCATATTGGTTCAGAACCCACATTGCCATACTTGAGTCCACAGCTCACCGGGCAAAGATTACTTGTTGGTGCCAACTTTGCATCTGCCGGGATCGGAATACTCAATGACACCGGTGTCCAGTTTGTAAGTCCGAAAATCAGCCAAACGTTGTACTTAAATGTGGCATTACAACTGATATAATCCAAAA